ATGCTTTTTTTATCAATCAGGAAAATGAAAATTCTCTGGAAAAAGTCATATAGATTTCCCAGTGTTTTCAAGAGTTTAAATTGTCAATTTCCAGCGTTTTCAAGAAACTAGATTTTTTAGCCTACTTTTCTAGATAAGTCCAGAGCTGCATGACCGCCCTAGCTTTTTTTCTTGCTTTTCCATACACGTTCGCGGTCTAGGCAATAAAAATATTGCAGTGATTGTTCTATGATATTTTGACTTATGAGCCCATCTAATACGACGAACTCTTTCAAAAATGTCACTAGAGTCAATGCCCAGCTTATCAATGTATAAATGTCATAACGAGTTCCTCGCATTTCAGGTTCTATAGCCTGCTGTATCTCCTTGATGTGCAGAGAGCTAATTTTGGAATATATAACTTATCCATATCGATTTTCTTACGTTTCAGTCGAATAGTCCGGAAGGCTTATTAAGCCATCAGCTTCACCCCAAAATTTAGGTTATCAGTATCAAATCAGGGGAATAATCGCCACAGTGATTTTTGGGAAGGTTAAGACCTCTAGAGTAAGAAAATATGTGATAGCATTGCAACAGTTGTAGCTAAATGGGTGTTATCACCCATTTTTCAAAATGGCCGCCGGTGCACGTGTTACAATATAAGAGTGGGTATATCTAAGTATACTGACATGCAGAAACTGTGATTTTAGGGCCTAAGTTAAGGTTTTAGGGGTCAATGATTTCATTTATGCCGAAATCTAAGTCATCAAGCAATTACTTCTTATAGAAATCCAAGATGGCCACCAAAATGGGTCCCAAAACGAATACCGGTATGTAACCATTGATTTAAGCTCGAAGAACAGTAAAGAACAGTGATTTTGGAGATAATGTCACAGTTTTAGAGTTACGGATTTCATTTATGTCTAAATGGGAGTCATCAAATAATTACCTTTTCATAGAAATACAAGATGGCCGCCAGAATGGGTGCCAAAATGAATATGCACTGTAACTATTGATTTAAGCTCAAAGAACATATGTACAGTGATTTCAGAGATCATGTCTTGGTTTTAAGGGTCAAGGATTTGACTTATGTCTTAATCTGAGTCATCAAACAATTACTTTATATAGAAATCCAAGATGGCCACCAAAATGGGTGCCAAAATGAATATTCAACTGATTGATTTAAGCTCAAAGAACAGTTGAGAACAGTGATTTTTGAGACATGTCTAGGTTTAAAGGGTCAAGGATTAGACTTATGTCTAAATCTAAGTCATCAAACAATTACTTTTTATAGAAATCCAAGATGGCCACCAAAATGGATGCCAAAATGAATATGTAACTATTGATTTAACCTGAAATAACAGTTAAGAACAGTAATTTTAGAGACTCTGTCTATTTTGTAGGGGCCAAAGACTTCATTAATGTCTAAATCTAAGTATAAATAACTACTTTTTATAGAAATTCAAGATGGCTACCAAAATGGGTGCTGAAATGAATATGTAACTATTGATCTAAGCTCAAAGAATAGTTAAGGACAGTGATTTTGGAGACTGTGTCCAGGTTTAAGAGGCCAAGAATTTCAATTTTGTCTATAATTTAGTCATAAAATAATTCCTTTATTTTGATATCCAAGATGGCCACCAAAATGGCTGCATAATATTATCACTTTGGCATCCATCTTGAATTCTGATATTAATCACAGATTGTTTCATGGCAAAGCTCTAGATAACTGAAATTCATGACCTCCTTAAAGTAAACATTGCTTCCAAAATTATTGTTCTTGGTGATCTATGTGGTTAAATGGATAGTTATATGAATTCATTTTGGCAGCCATTTTGGAGGCCATCTTGGATACCCATATAAATAAAATGTTTGTTAATTTTATTAAAGACAAAATTAATCAAAAATTAATGTTCTAACTCCTCTATATGTTTAGATAATTAATCTTATTTTCACTTCGGCAGCAATGTTGGAAGCCATCTTGGATCCAAATAAAGGAATTAATTATAGTTGTAGACATAACTGAAATTCTTGACACCAAAAATCTTGACATGGTCTCAAATTACTGTTGTAAACTGTTCTTTGAGCTTATATCAACATTTACTTGTTATTGGCACCCATTTTGGTGACCATCTTGGATTTCTATGAAAAGCAATTGTTTGATGACTCAGATTTAGACATAAATGAAACCCTTGACCCCTAAAACCTAGTCATTGTCTCCAAAATCACTGTTCTTTACTGTTATGTTCTTTGAGCTAAAATCAATAGTTAAATATTCATTTTGGCTCCCATTTTGATGGCCATCTTGGATTTCTGCATAAAGTAATTGTTTGATGACTCAGATTTAGACATAAGTCTAATCCTTGACCCTTAAAACCTAGACATTGTCTCAAAAATCACTGTTCTCAACTGTTCTTTGAGCTTTAATCAATCAATTAAATATTCATTTTGGCACCTATTTTGATGGCCATCTTGGATTTCTATATAAAGTAATTGTTTGATGACTTAGATTTAGACATAAGTCAAATCCTTGACCCTTTAAACCAGACATTGTCTCAAAAATCACTGTTCTCAACTGTTCTTTGAGATTAAATCAATCAGTTAAATATTCATTTTGGCACCCATTTTGGTGGCCATCTTGGATTTCTATATAAAGTGATTGTTTGATGACTCAGATTTAGACATAAATGAAATTATTGACCCCTAAAACGCAGACATGTGCTCCAAAATCACTGTTCTTAACTGTTCTTTGAGCTTTAATCAATCAATTAAATATTCATTTTGGCACCTATTTTGATGGCCATCTTGGATTTCTATATAAAGTAATTGTTTGATGACTTAGATTTAAACATAAGTCAAATCCTTGACCCTTTAAACCTAGAATTGTCTCAAAAATCAATGTTCTCAACTGTTCTCTGAGCTTAAATTAATAGTTGAATATTCATTTTGGCACCCATTTTGTTGGCCATCTTGGAATTTTTATTTAAAGTAATAGTTTGATGACTTAGATTTAGACATAAGTCAAATCCTTGACCCTTAAAACCCAGATATGGTCTCCAAAATCACTGTGCTTAACTATTCTTTGAGCTTAAATCAATAGTTACATATTTGATTTTGCATCCATTTTGGTGGCCATCTTGAATTTCTATGAAAAGTAATTATTTGATTACTCAGATTTAGACATAAATCAAATCCTTGACCCCTAAATGTAGACATGGGGTCCAAAATCACTGTTCTTAAGTGTTTCTTGAGCATTAACAGTAGTTACATATTCGTTTTTGCACCTATTTTGGCGGCCATCTTGGATTTCTACAAGAAACAATTGTTTGATGACTTAGATTTAAACATAAATGAAATCCTTGACCCCTAAAACCTAGACATAGGTCCTAAAATCACAGTTTTTGCATCTCAGTGTGCTTAGAAAATCCCACTCTTATAATGTGACATGTGCACCGGCGGCCATTTTGAAAAATGGGTGATAACACCCATTTAGCTACAACTGTTAGTGTTACAATGCTATCTCATATTTTCTTACTTTTGAGGTCTTAATCTTCCCAAAAATCACTATGGCGATTATTCCCCTAATTTGATACCGACCAACCCCCCAGGCTGATGGCCTATATAACGTGCACGGACCTGGGGACAATTCAGGAAATACGGGCTAAAAATTAGAGTGGTTAAAGAGATCGGGTGTCCTAAAAACACAATTAGAGTAACCCCCTGATGTTTTCGTGTTATTTGATGTAAAATAAGTTTGTTTATCAACTTATCAATTCTGAGGCTTAGATTAATTCGTTAACAGTATCAATTCGATGATTGTTCCTAGCCATGAATTTCCACTTCCATCAATAGAAATTCAAATTCAAATTTAAAAAGCAAGCTCAAATTTGTTCCAGTCTGATTGGCTTTTTCCTTCAGATTATTTTGGCTTAGAGAAGCCATATTTTTTACTTCTAAGGGGTAACAATATAGATAAATCCCCTAAAAACATTCTGTTTTCATCTTATTGCGTTCAATTCTGACAGTTAGTTGTTCTTTTGGTTGTCCTGTTGATATCCTCAATATATTGTCAATATCGTGCTTATGATTTGATCTCAAGATATATATCTAAGGTATATATCACGGGCTACTAGTTTCCACGTATATAGAGTATGACCGGTTCTTAGGCTACGAATATGACCTGTTTTGGAAAGTCATGAGAGGCACAGCTGCTTAAAAATGGAAAAGAAAGGTTAACTTCTATATTATCCTTTTTGAAATTGTGTTTGTTGAATATAGTTTATGCTGTATTTAATAGTAATGTAACAAAAAAATGTTAAACATGAGCTATTTTAGCAATGTAACTGTTCATAATGGAATATCAATCAGAAAGTACAGATTTCTCGCCTTAGAGCCAAATCATTAATATCACAGTAGAAAAAAACAAATCCCAAACCTTTTTATCTCCAAATCTCAGTTTATATGATCCCCCGTAGAGTGAGCAAGAGAAGGATTTATCTTTTCCCAGAGGATACGCTTGTGAAATGTCATGGAAGACATTTCACAACATTTCACGTATTCTCCAATAATGGGGCACCAGTGACATTCGTATTCTCAAAAATTCAAAGATGTAGATCATATTTGGACAGAGCAGGCTAAATTATTTAAAATATTCATGACTAATTCGTAGATCTAGCTATATATTATACATAAGATGTGTCATCCTCTTCGGATTTGCGTTGTGTTACACAAAAACTGATCAAAGATGCTGGAAACTAGGATTTTACGGCTTCAATCTAATATTAATACGTTTTCTCTTGATTAAGGCCCCTTGTGATATGCCTGGCATTATAAGTATACCAAGTATCATTCATTGACCAAGTAGGATAAAAAGAAAACGTTCGAAAGTGTTCATAAAAAGCAAGTACTCACCTCGTCTGTTTATAGGAACAGAAATACGGTCACACTCGTAAGCTTAGAACCGGTCATACTCAATATACGCGGATACTCTAGTAACCCGTGTATATGATGTTTTATGAGCAATTATATTGGGACATAACTGATTGTCCAGAATAGAAATCTGGACGACTCGATCTCTTTAAGCAACACTACTTTTTACAATGTAAACCGCAAACGGGAAGGTGCGCGCAGATTTTCTCAAGATGTGACGTCATATTGTTCGACTTGTAATTCCCGGTTTACGTACATCCATTGAAGACGATTTTTGGTGCAATGAATATGAGCGTTTTGAAGGACCATAAATAGTTGTTTTCTGATACAGAATACTAGTAATTTTTTTGAAGTTTTTGAACCCACAGTTTCCGAGGAATCTTATCAAAAACATTTTTGGGTAGTTTCAGAGGGTGGTGCGTTCGCACCCAACGCAACCCCCTTTCTGACGCCCATGGAGTACCAGCCTCTCTTCTTTGATAAAATAAGTTGCTTGGTCTTTCTAATTAAATGTCCTCACTCTTTTGAAAAGGCTATTTCATATTGCTGTTTCGGTTTGCTTAGAAGCACTTTCATCTCCAGCCGATTCGACTGGTGGGGGATTTTTATTCTCCAATGCAAAGGAGGATTTATGAGTGTCTTCATCATCATGTGTCGACATTGCTTCTGGCTCTCCTTCTTCGTTTCTCTTTTTCTGGAAATGAGGAACTATCGAGAAAAAATCGTCCTCAATAATGTCAAACTTGTCACGTGGGATCAACTTTTGTTTTGTCGACTTAGGCTTGATCGGTGGTAACCGAACGCGTTTTCCCGGACTAAATACGTGATTGATGTTGGTTGTCACAAAGGACGACGACGAATGGACTTGCACGTCTGATAAACTTGTAGCGCCACTCGGCCTATCCACTGGGCTGAGATGACGAGCTGCTTCTCGATGAGCATGTTGATGGAGAGAATTATGGATTGAGTTTAAATACTTCCGTGAGTTCATTGAAGATGCCTCCTCTAAATCGATAAGATGACAATTGTTTTGTCTGCCAATGGCATAAGCCTGAGAAGCGCTTGTACTGGCTATGGGATGTTCAGACGTGGTAAATACTGGGTTGCAAGGGTGACTGGATTCCTCTTTCGCTTGGACAAAATCTTCCCAACAATGTTTTCGTCTTCCTGTGAAGATTCCATCACGGGTGTATGACGTATCTACGCATATGCTCATATGGCTGCTTTTCACATTATAGCTGAAGTACAATTTATATATATTCTGTTATTTGTTAGTATAGATCCCACACAAATCTTTTATAAATTAGCTGTTTCTAATTTTTACAATAACTTTTCAAACATTAACATCTGACGTAGGTCCTCATGTCATACATACATAATAACAGTTTGGCAATGGGAACGTAAGTCTCAAAACTTTTCAATTACATCACAAGATGATATTCATATTCTCCCTCTTAATTTGAAAGTACTTTTTAAACGTTTGTCTTGTTTATTATTTTATAGAAAAAACGGACAGACATTAAATAGCACATTCTAAATATTTCATGGAAAACAGAAAACCACCCACAGCATATTCTTTGAACAAAAATAGAAATGCAAAATACCTTGCAATATATCTGTTCTTGGCATTGAAAGTGTCGTCAGGCTCAATGCGACGAAGAAGGTACCGACAAAGGACTTGACGGACGTAATTACGGAAACGTCTGTTAGTGCAAAAATATATGAGCGGATTCATCATACAGGACGATTTTGCGAAGAGGGTTGGGAACGTGCTGAATTCCACTGGTACGTGCATAAACAAGTGGACCACGGACAATACAGCATATGGCGTCCATACCACAGTAAATGTACCCACCATCAACCCACATACCTGGAAATATAACAGTTGGCAATTGTCTGTAAATAAAAACATGCATTTACTTATTGTTGGCCGTTGATAGTATACAGGGTGGGCAATAAAAATGTCATACTTTGTATGATTCTTGTATTTAGAATCAAACTGATAAACCGGATGTCATGTACCAAAAATTGGGAATTTAATCCGCTTTAATAAGACATGATATTAATTGACTTATCTTCAATGATTTAGAAATAGTGACAATTCTTGAATGTGATGTCACAATAGATATCAATGTCTGTTTCTATCTGTGATAATAGCTCTAAATCTCAGAAAACCCATAAGTTTACATTACATATGCACTCCATTTCTTGGAAAAATTTACACAAGATGCCGATTAAATCACATTCTTAACATAAAGAACAATGTTAAGGTTGCCAATACCAATGATACTGCTTTGGTGAGATGTGAGTAAAATGATGGGAAAATAAGGAGAAAATAAAGAATAACAACGTCATATGTGTTGCCATTTCAGCATTACTTTACTTAGTATAGCTGTTACTACTAGTGTGAGTTAATATCGCAAAATAAAGCTTCTGTTATTTGATTGGTTCATTGCATGGTTATCATGGTGATCCAATATGGCGTCAACCGGTGTAAATTTGATTTTGATCAAGAATAAAAAACTCTTCTCGACTTGATAGACCAAAATAAATATCAATACTCTTTCAATATATTTTTTCTTTCATGTTGACATTCGAAAGTCAATGTAGTATCATTTATGATTTCTAACACACTATTTTAGTTAATTATTTTATTTTCTGAATAGCAATAGCAAATATACGACCAGGACATACGAAGAGTTTTACTGGGATAACGCCCCAACGCACAAGGCCACCCAGAGACCAATATAGTGGATGAGTTGGGACTGCCATGGTCACAACTTGCCCCATGTTGTAATGCCCCGAGGACGCCCCAAGGGAATAACTAATTAACAAACGAACATAGTGTAACAAGCCAGTTAAAGAAATTGATAGAAAGTGTGCTAAATTCAATAGCCCGTGTGAGAATCGAACCTAGGAACCTTGGATCCGATGTCTGATGCTCTACCGACTGAGCTATAAAGGCTTAAGCCGTTACAGCTGGACTGTAGTAGCAAATTGTTACTAAGGGTCGTTACAATGTGACCTTTATTTACATGATGAACTCAAATGGAAACTAAGTGGAATCAGTTTTCAAACTTCATATGATTTAAGAAAAGGTGTATTGGGAGCATTCCAAAAATGAGTTACCATTTCGGGATATCGGGATCTGCTTGCATAGATGGTACAACGGTGAAAATCACATTGCTAATGGTGGCAATTATGCAGAGTAATTTACACTAATTGAGCAATCAAATGTTCATTCAATTCCCCTTTCTACGAAACCAAATGATTTGTTCCGGGTGACGAAAATAGAATTTAGCTCAAAATTCGAAATTAAAAACGGGAAGAACTGTTTGAATTGTCATTCGATAACGTCCGCAATCCTTATTTATATTTTATTATCCATGGTTAGTAATATAGGAAATTACTAGATATAGTATATTTTAGTAGGGAAACTTACCAATGATGTACGTATTTCTTTTTTAACTCTCAAATGGGCGAATATTCTGCTAGCAAAGTGTCGTGTGTTCTGTGGCAGAGTCACTGGGTCCCGAGGATAACTCAGACTGAAAGCCTTTACAGAAATCTACAAGTACATGTATGAGAATAATGCGATCACTTTCTACACAAGCACGATGGAAAAGCGTTACGCAGTCTTAATAAATTAAATATAATATGTGTTGATTTGATATGCGTAGGCAACGTGAAATTATGAAAACATGACTGAAGGAAAACAGTTTGTCATTTCGCAAATGTTATGCAAACAATTTTGTGCACGCCATCTGTATCTTTACCAAACTGACTGAATGATATGCGTGAATTTCCATGAATGTCTTCGTCACCAAATGTTGCACGCTAGCTACCGCAGGCAGCGGATATAAAAAGGACTACCCTACCGGTGTTAGTCTGTACTGACAACCCCGTATCGCAGCCTTGTTTTAAATAAGTATATTCTCAACATGGTTTTGAGTCTTGAACCGCGTAAAGTTAAGTCATCGTGACTACGAAGGTAATATTAAGATGGTGAAATACTATCTACGCATTATCAATGTTTATATTTTTTTCACCTTTATATAGCACGGAATCATAATAGCCAGATGCAGTATGAAACAAGTAAAGATGATGAACGTGTTATAGCTGACGTCTGTAGGTAATTTGCCGCCCCAGTTCGTGCTGCACGACGTCCCAAACTGCTCATATGTGTACGAAGACCATCCCATCAACGGAGGTACTGTTACCAGCAAAGCATATATCCAAGCAACAATAATGGCCTTTAGTGTTACATTATTATTCAATCTGTAAGCTGAAATCATATTGAAGAGAAAACATACTTTTGAAAGCACTGTAAAAATTGTAATATAATCTTCTCAAGAAACCAACCCGAGGCCTACCATTTTGAATTTAAGCAGGTTCCAATATGAACTACGCAACATATACAGTACTTATTTAAGCACAAGTATATATATTTTTAATTTATCATACTATCACTGACAAAACTTTTCTATTATAACAGGAGAAAGAAGTACTTGTATACCATTATACGCCAGTTTATTAGCATAAGAATCACGCCCGCGGTGATCGTACAAAATGGATGGAGGGGGAGTAGGCGATTTCTGCAGGAAAACTCAACAAAGGAGCACGTAGGTTATCGCAAACAATTTCAAACGATTCTAACTTGAATTATGAATATTTTCTGATCATGAAAATGGGTGTATCTTTTAGATCTATTCATTATCTTCAAGAAAAGTATATATAATGATAATTTAGTTAATCAGACCTAAGTGATATTGAAGGGGCAATGGACCAATCAACATACTTTTTCAAAAATGTTGACCTAATTTTCACCAAAAATGCAACCTATTATTATATTGTTGAATGCATAATTAGAATGTGCTTTGAGACATGTTCGATTTCCTAAAAGGAAAATTTGATTTTGCTCCAGGGACTTTAAAGATATTCAATTTGGATGACCAAAATGAACCAATGGATAGCATGAGATTTTTCAATGGAGAAATAACATGGGGAACACTTATCTTAATGCAATTAAGTTTTTCTTTCAAGAACTTTTTGATACATCAAAATAAAGAATAGTAATGCATTAAACATTGTAAAAAATGATTGCATTTTTGGTGAAAATGGGGTCAACATCTTCAAAATGGGGTCAAAAAGTGTGTTGATGGGTTAATTGCTAGTTAAATATCTCCGAGTTTGTTTGAATTTATTATTACTGTGCATAATTTTCTTTGAGATAATGAATTGATCTAAAAGATAAACTTGTCTTCATTGTCAGAAAATAGTCATAATCCAAGATATAACCTTCTGAAATTGTTTGCGATAACCCACGTGCTCCTTTGGAAGATTTATTTTTTCAAGAGAAAATTTACAACTAAATTGCCAAATAAATAGGCGCAGTGCATGGCAAAATATGTTAGGTTTTCTACTATTTTTTGAACTGATACGCTTCTAAGATATGGGATCTATTAAAAAAGGCGCATCATCACCAACGTGCAAAAGTCAATGTTTTTGCTATAAATCAGGCAACAATGGTCTACACGACCTGTAATAAATAGCTATAAGGGACATTATTATCACAATACTAATGACATTGCTCACTTTTTAAAGTTAGTTTCAATGCGTTATACCAAAAACAATCGAAATGAATTAATATTGGATGGAGGGGGGGGGGGTGGATGGAGGGGGGAGTAACGTGTATATAAGACATGATAAGACATGCTACTTGAATTTATTCTTATAACTCCCATTTTTCATTCTCCAATCTCCAGAGGGAACAAAAACACTACACTAACTCACCCTGGCTGTACCTGCAGACGTGGACGTATCTATAGCAACTGATGAGAACGAGTGTGTTCATGCTACTCATGGATAAGAAAAAGCACATGAAGCCATATATCTGGCATCCTACATAGCCCGTCAACCATTTACCTGTAAAACAATACAAATAGACTTACCCGAGAAAAATATATATGAAATCTTTGATTAAAGCACCTGTGTCACTTTCAGGTGATTGCTCTTCAGCTTTAAAGACCCCGTGCAAAGTAAAAACATATTTTGATCATTCATTGGGTGCTTTTCATGACTCGAAAAATATGACTTCAATCATATCATTAAATACATTTTAAAGCATTTTTAAAAATTGTGACGTCACGATGATACGCTGTCTTGCCACTCGGGTGACAAAACTCAATGTATAAAATATTTTCTAAAAAATGCAAATTTTTCAATAGCCTATGTGGATAATACGTTCTTATCCTGTTTTAAATATCTACATACGTACCATTACATTCAATAAGAACCCAAACTTGAAAATGTTTTTTCTGTGAACCACTTTTCTGTTCTTATGAGTTAAGTTCTTGCTTATTTTTCAACCAATTTTCTTAATATTTTAGCACAAAATAGATTAGGATGTTAGGATGTACTGAGGGTGTATATATGTTACGCGTTGAGTAATATATTACTTCACAAGGTATGGCACATTTTGATAACATTGGGTAGGACTATAATTATTTATATATAAGTCAAAGTGATTTAAACTTTATATGGGGCCTTTAAGTATATTCACCCAATGATGGCAAGGTTAGTAGATAGTACTTGACACTCTTTGTGATATATATATCGCAGACAGCACTGATGCCAATGCTTAATAATATTAGGCCTACCTGGAAATTGTAGCTGAATTAAAATATGACATGTGGAAGAGGATTATTCCATGTTCTAATTTGCTTTACCTCGTAACGTCAGGAAATAGTTTAGTTCATTAGACTATAGGTATCGTTTCAAGAATGCAATACAAAATGGTAAAAATACCTGTCTATAGAGTTGTGTTCGTGTGACAATGCCAAGGACAAAATTGAACATAATTGATTCATTACACATCTAGGTGTATCTAAGATCGATTAACTTCATACCCAGCTTTCTATTGCATGCATTACATGAGTACCGAGAGATGGAATAACTACAGTTACAAGTCACTTATCAAAGCCAGTTTATGCCTGACATGTTCGTACTCCAAATGAGGTTGTCAAACTAATGGAGGGGAGTGTCGGTACTCCAAATGAGGTTGTCAAATAGGGTGGTCCAAAATATGGCGAAAAACCAACTTTGTTTCAGATCATCTTCCTCATTTCACTTACTGTTGTCCATGACCTAAAACACCTGCACACCAAATTTTAAGACCCAAATCACATGGGAAATTTACCCACGCTTCGACTGAAAATTCGTTTATTTCATGATTTTTTGCTATTTTCGATAAATTGTCATCTCCCTTTTCCTGGTATAATATGTTTCTATTTTTTCATAATAAACATTTTTGTAGGACTCTTTATTACTTCATAATACTAGGAACCCATACACCAAATGTTGAGACCCAAATCCCATGGGAAATTTACCCACGCTTCGACTGAAAAATTCGGTTATTTCATGATTTTTTGCTATTTTCGATAAATTGCCATCTCCATTTTCCTGGTATAAAATGGTAGATGTCTTTTCATAATAAATATTTTTGGATGACTTTGTATTATTTCATAATACTTAGGAACCCATACATCAAATTTTGAGACCCAAATCCCATGGAAAATTTACCCACGCTTCGACTGAAAAATTGGGTTATTTCATATACAATACAATACATCTCTATTTTCCTGGTATTATATGTTTCTATCTTTTATAATAAATATTTTGGGAGGACTCTTTATTACTTCATAATACGAGGAACCCATACTCCAAATATGCACCAAATTTTGAGACCCTGGCCCCATGAGAAATTAATTCATGCTTCAACCAAAAATTTGTGATTTTCTGCGAATTTTCTCCTATTTTCAATAGATCAACATTAATCTTATATTTAGTTTTTAAACATTTTAGGAGGACATTAATACATTCTAAATACTAGGAACCCATACATTTAATATGTACCAAATGTTTAGACCTGAACCCCATGGGAAATTCACGTTTGCTTTGATCATATACTTTTGATTTTTGTTGTTTAGAGCACCATATCATTGTTGTGTGATGTGCAATTTGTAATAAATTGTATTACACGTTGTCTTAATTATCCTGTTTGGCCTTACATACGTTACATCGTGAAAGATGGTTATATAGTACTTTAAGGTAATTCCTTATTTTCAGTTTTAATGGCTTCCTAATTGGAGCCCCGTGTTTTTTCAGGAACACATAACTCATTCCATTCAGATGCACAAACAGTGTATAAACATAGCACATAGTACATTATAGAAAATTACTAACCATCAACTAATAATCTAAATACATATTTGAACTCAGTGTAAAATTGAAAGAGCTGACCAAGTATGGAATGAGTTCCAGAAATAACATTGGACTCCACTTAAAATTTCTGAACATACGGAATTACCTTAAGTGTTTCTCATTGCTCTTCCTATCTTCTACATTGCGTACTTTCAGGGCATGAACATTTTCAGAGAAATGACAAAGCTCAGTGGAAGCTCGAATTCCTTGAAGATTTGGTACAGGCTTACTGGTTACAACAGAGACCATGCCATTGATACATTGATCAATCAAAAAATCATTTCTCCAAAGAAAATCAGATTTGATATTTGACCTTACCCTGCAAAGATGTGAGAAAGAATATGATATCTCACACAAATCCAAACAAAGTCCTGTGATGTATCCCTACTGAAACCAACAAACCAAATCTTCAAGGCATTTGAGTTGCTGTCGAGTCATCACTTCTTAATATTAACCACAGTATATAAATGTACAAGTAAAAGATCCTAAATTTTCCCCAAACTACTGAATTTGTCGCCTTTCAATAAGACTTAAAGTCTTGATATTTAGGTGTTCCTTTGGATTAAGAAGGAATTACCATAATGTTTATTAACATATTATGCCCCTAAAACAGACATCATAAGCTATCATAAGCACCAGTTTTCAGTCAAAGCATGAGTAACGTTCTCATTGGATTTGGGTCTCAAAATTTGGTGGATATTTGGTGTATGGGTTTTTAGTATTATGAAGTAATAAAGAGTCCTCAAAAATGTTTATTATAAAAACATATCGTACCAGGAAAATGGAGACAGCAATTTATTGAAAATCGGAAAAAATGTGAAAATCACAATTTTTCAGTCAAACCATGGGTAAATTTCCCATGGGATTTGGGTCTCAAAATTTGGTGTATGGGTTCCTAGTATTATGAAGTAATAAAGAGTCATCCAAAAATATTTATTATGAAAAAATAGAAACATATTATACCAGGAAAATGGAGACAGTAATCTATTGAAAATCGGACAAAACTGTGAAAATCACAATTTTTCAGTCAAAGCATGGGTAAATTTCACATGGGATTTGGGTCTCAAAATTTGGTGTTTGGGCTCCTAGTATTATTAAGTAATAAAGAGTCCTACAAAAATGTTTATTATGAAAAAATAGAAACATTTTATACCAGGAAAAGGGAGATGGCAATTTATCGAAAATAGCAAAAAATCATGAAATATCCGAATTTTTCAGTCGAAGCGTGGGTAAATTTCCCATGTGGGATTTGGGTCTCAAAATTTGGTGTGCAGGTGTTTTAGGTCATGGACAACAGTAAGTCAAATGAGGAAGATGATCCGAAAGAAAGTTGGTTTTTCGCCATATTTTGGACCACCCTATTGTCAAACTTATGGAGGGGAGGTACGTACTCCAAATGAGGTTGTTAAACTTATGGAGGGGAGTGTACGTACTCCAAATGAGGTTGTCAAACTTATGGAGGGGAGTGTACGTACTCCAAATGAGGTTGTTTAACTTATGGAGGGGAATGTACGTACTCCAAATGAGGTTGTCAAACTTATGAATGGGAGTGTACGTATTTCAATTGAGGTCGTTATATTACCTGCGTACCCAGATGCAGCAGAGAATGGATAACCGAAGAAAAAGATGAGCAAGTCGCTGATGGCAAGGTTGAGCAGTAGTAACACTTGGGGCTTTCTTCTCAAAGGTTTGCTCTTCACGATTGTTGTAATAACAATTCCATTGCCCGAGGTGGCAATGATACCTGTAATAATAGATATCTCAGAAAATGGGATTTTATAGTATAAAGGCAGAATCAGATAACATGTACAATTGAGCAAACAATTTGTTCCTTACGATCTGAGATACAATATCTCTCAAAAGATTCAAAGTGCAAAAATTGGGAAAGTGTTTGAATTCTCCCAAAGGATAATAAAAATGGTAACTATAGTTATAGAAAAATAGATCTGAGATATAGTATCTCTCAAAAGATTCAAAGTGCAAAAATGGGGAAAGTGTTTGAATTCTCCCAAATGATAATAAAAATGGTAACTATAGTTAAAGAAAAATAGATCTGAGATATAGTATCTCTCAAAAGATTCAAAGTGCAAAAATGGGGAAAGTGTTTGAATTCTCCCAAAGGATAATAAAAATGGTAACCATAGTTATAGAAAAATATAACATTATTGTCAAAGTCTTTAGTGTTTTTGGAAAAAGTATACGGACTATGGGAATTTTTAGAAAATAGACATGACAAGGAATGATATGAGCCATTTTCTAAACAATTATTTGTTTAGCTCGCTAGTTTGATCGGATTCACCCTTTAATAAAGAAAAGGGAACCTTCTTTTTGGCGAAGGTTTAGGAAAGGTGGGGCAATTGTATTTTTGCAGAATAGTGTTAATTCACACATAATTTCAACAAAAACTGCAAATGTGCTCTAAACGTAGTGATAGACCTAATTTAATTTGAATTTTCCTCTCCTACAGGGTTACAGGGTAACCTTGTGAATTAAAGTTTTAAAATTTTTTAAAATGCTTACCAACGAATGTGGTGTATATCCCTTGTATGAGATATCCAGTAGGCGTGAGCTTTTCGGCGTAAGCGCGACTAAGCGTTTCATTATGATCAATAACAGTACTATTCTCATATGTACCGCTAGTGTTGGTTGGAGAGGTAGTGGCTGGAAAAACGCAGGTTGACGCATTCTCAAATTGTCCACAAGTAATAGAGGACCCGTTCAAAGCCATATCATGAATCGGTGAAATGTCCAGTATTGAATCTGTTCTGTTGTATGTGAAAAATCCCTAATTAGGTGAGAAAATGAAGAGGCGTTCTTTCGTAAACCTAAATCCATTAATTTGTATTCTGGGTTTGTGATATGTCCTGGACTTAAAATCATGTTGTCGCGAACAGCACGTTGACAAAGTCAGAACTGATGTCTCCCGATTCCATCTAATCATATGGTAAATAGCAATCAAATATCTAGTATCACAAATGACTGTTATTAACTGTCTTGACGCCCATCTCCTATTGGATAAAACAGAGACATACAATTAATATATATGATCATGTTATATCGTCTTTTTTCAGGTGTTTATCTCATTTCAATATATCTTATTACCTAATCGTAGCCTTATCACAGTATCAGGCAAAAGATCGGATTAATGAGGTTCGGAGATTCTGTTAATAGTAATACATTTCACAATTCTTTTGTCTTGGGGGTTGTATTGTATGTTATATGCCATGACACGGTGCATTAGCCGAATAGAAATAATGATGTTTTCCAGTCTTGCATTGACCATATTTTTCATTTGTGTCGAAGAAATCAAATACCCCCCGGTTCCGTACTAAGAAATGCCGTTAGGCAATTATTCTAGCAAATGAGTAGTTATACGTCAGTCAGGGAGCCATATTCTTAGGTTGTACCACGTTGTACCATTACGTAACCCCTTTGTTCTAAGGTTGTACCATGTTGTATGTTACGTAACGCCTGGCGTAACACCCCTTTGTTCTAAGGTTGTACCACGTTGAATGTTACGCAACACCCTTTTGTTTAGGGATCGTTGTACCTCTCTATGTTACGCAACACCCTTTGTTAAGGGAGCCATACGTCAACGTTGTACCAAGCTATGTTGCTCAACACTCTTCCCTCCCTAAGTCTCCCGCTCGCCTCATTAGCTCGATAACAAAGGAGGGCGACGATTAGTGAGCCATTTAGAAAATATGGTACAACACTGTAAATGTTGTACCAAAGTCACTCATTTTTTATATATAAGGATCACGCCGACACTTAGCAAACCAAATGCCCTTTACCATTGGTGGGTTTAAAACTAAGTCAAGTCTCATTGGCTGAGTGTTAGGGATCACATTGAGTTCTTCGTTAAGGTTTACTGTAGCCCTCATTACCATCGTCAACTCTGATCGATTAGCAGTAAATATTTTAAAAAGCCAGAAAAAAAGTAAAATAAATTGAAAATATAGTAAGATCATCGTATACTGTACATTACAATGACTGAAGTGCAGGAAATCAACTCTCTGGCTGTATTCGAGTTTGGAAGTGAATTTAAAGTGGACGTTAGATTGGGGAAATATCCCAAACCATTTTTACTATTCCAGCAAAGAATACTAAATACATCAGAACTTCGTTACTTCAACAAGTCTGTGCTACTGTCCATCAAACAGTACGTTCTCTTCAGGGATGCCATACCAACACTTTCGCAATTCGCTCGATGTGTGATGGCTGGGGGCGAGGAGATGTTAATCAAACTGGACAAGTTATTGACTGTGTACGTTGGACGGGATGGGTACGAAAACACATACATGAAAATGAAGAGAACGAGAAAAAATGCTACACAGTCCTCCTCTGGAAAGCAAAGCGACGAATCGGATGAAATCAAAATCGACTGGGAAGACTTCGAGCTGTTAAAGGAAAAAATTGGAGAGATAAATGCCTGCATTTTAACTGCAGTGAAAGAAAACAAAGAAAATGGTAAGTTAAGTCACTTATTGCGTGAGTTTTGTATACAACATGTACAATACATGTATCTATAATTCGGTACTGTTTGTTAATATCACATGATATTATGACTGTCATCTAAAATAGCATGTTCGTATGGTAGGGGGAAACGCGCTAAATAGCATAAACATTGTGTAATGTATTCCAACATGAATTTGATATAAATCTTTTACTGCGTGTCTTTTAGTTACTTCAACCGATGACAAAGGAACAGACAGCGGTAATTCGGGAGCTAGTCAGAAATATACTCTGAACAATAAGAGAAAGGGGGATTCCTACGATTCAGACCGGATGGTGACTCCGAAGAGACAAAGCCACGAGGTACCCGAATCCCAGCCATTGTCGCCAGAACTTTTCGGATCCCAAGAAAATGCTTCACTCGGTTTTGATGATGTCACAAGCTTTGGAAACACAAAGCAGTTTTATTATTGACATTCAGCCAACAACATTTATATGTGATACATCAGAGAACAATCACTAATATTGGGTTAATATAGGATTTTGAGACCGTATAATACAGTTGCTATGACAGCAAGAAAATGTATTTCAGAATAAAATGTAAATGAAAATGGAATTAATAAAAAGTGATTATATCAGAAAATAAAAAAGAATTTTATTTGTTTATTTTTAATGAAGTGTTTCAAACTATATTCGATACTTTTGAGGATTCAATAAAGTTCAATTAAGTGTAGAGTTACAAATGCTGTTATTTCGAAATACCATAACTTAAACATGAAGTAGTATTGAAAACAAATTGCATGATTATTTGACCCCCTGGCCCTGTCCATTTTGGAAGGTCCCTTTACATATTTATAATTTCATCCACCACTTGAACTCATTCATTTAGTCCGAGTAAAACGATGGAGACGGACCATTATTTTTTCTTGAGCAGCAACGACTCTAGACAGTATTATCCTTTTAACAATTCGAATAGCTTCACGGTCGTTCTACCCGGCTACTTGAATCTGATAGGTCTTTGGCAGATAGCCCTTTGCGAAATCAATTTTCCCGAGGATCCCATTTGCGATTCTGAAGTGAGTTGTCTGGACGTATTATGCGAACTGGCCGATTCATCGGTGGTGAACTGCGAGAAAAAGTGCATTCTGAGAAGAATTCCCAAATCCAATCCGAACAGGGTGTTCGATAGGCCCATGTACTTTCCCATCAATCAAGTTCACTTCGACAGAATCAAGATAAATATAAGAGGAGACAACAACAAGACGGTGTCATTCAGAGAAGGAACAGTGACTTGCGCGGTTCACTTAAGACGACTGTTATAATATAAAAAATTGGAAATAAAATGAAATTGGAACTTTACGTGGACGACCCTAAGAAATGGGACTCGTTCATTCGGGCTAGTCGGGAGGGTCGGGTAATGGCTCAGATAGGTAGGGGAAAACACAAAGCCAGATACATCCCCCTATCGTCTGTGAGGGAAGCGCAGGCCCCGGTAAAAATGATCTCCCCGATTCAAGCCGTCACCGAACGAGCGCGTTCAGATTTACAGCAACAGAAAATGATGGCGAGACATAACGAGATTTCAACGATGCAACCCGCGACCACCAAGAATAAAAGAAAGCATACTGGAGTCGCTGCGGTCAGTAAGAAGAAAAAACCGAACGGTCAACAACGTAAGGGGAAGAAAGGCTACGAAAATATCTTTGACAGAAATTGAAAAAAGCAAAAAATAAAGATGGCGTTCAAAGTGAGTGGCAGTGAAGAAGTTATAAGTGATAATTTGAGATTTTTCGGCGAACCACCGACGGAGAGTAGCGTGACGGCCTACTCTTACGTGGAGATTCGGCCCACTGGACAATTAACCGATCATTCCGTGGTAGAGTTTAGTATTCCCAATAATTCCTCGCAGCTCATCGATTTGAAAAATTCGAGGCTCTACGTGAAGGCTCGTATCTTGCGTTCCGACGGAACGGTACCCGAGATAACTGAAAAATTTGGTCCTGTGAACAATCTCCTTCATTCTCTATGGGGTCACGTGGAGATCCAGTTACAACAGCGTCCCGTGCCCACGTCCATCAATATGTACCCGTACAAAGCTTATCTAAAAACGTTGTTGTACACCACGAAACAGGAGCAAGAAGGGAAACTGTCCGCCGCGCTGTACTATAAGGATAGTTGTTTCGGCGGACGGAACGTCATGGATGGAACCGATGTAACTGGATTAGACGCACCCAGGGGCTTGGTGACCAGATGGGATGAAAGCAACGAGGGTAAAATTGTGGACATGGAGGGACCTTTGCTGGAAGACATCTTTCAAATGGAAAAGTTTTTACTCAATGGAATCGAAGTGAAAGTGAAGTTGACGCCTACATCGGATGCCTTTAGACTGATGTCAGACTCGGATACCATCTACAAAGTGGAACTCGTGGATGTCTATCTCAGGATGGCCATGGTATCAGTATCCCCGGGAATATTACAGTCTTACGATAAACATTTACACGAGAAGAACGCCATTTATTCCTACGAGAAAAACGACTTTAAATGTTACACTATACCCGCTGGCCAACTTCAATTCAACTTCAACGACATCTATAACGGGGCAGTTCCCACTAGGCTCGTATGTTTCCTGGTCAGTGCTCAAGCACAAAGTGGAAGTTTTAAGAAGAATCCCTTCAACGCGCAGGCATTCGGTCTCAAGTATTTGGACGTTAGGCTGGACGATCAGAGCGTTCCCGAGAAACCCCTGACACCACGTTTCGACGCTACGAACAGTAGGAAGAGCAACTACATTCGAGAATATTTAAGATTATTCGCGGATCCCGATGTTCCACTTGACTTATCACGCATGGAGTTTGGGACAGGTTTTGCGTTCTATAGGTTTGACATTCAATACTCGGACAGTGTCAAATCTGTTGACGAAACATTACCCTTGATAAGAAGAGCCAACGTGAAAGTGGAGGGGCATTTCGAAGAGGCCCTTTCAGAGCCAGTCAACCTCGTCGTATGCGGAAGTTTTCCTCAAATCTTCGAAGTGGACGCCTCGAGAAATATTATCGTGAATTGACAGAACCATGTACAGCTTCACATTGCATAGGATGTTAACCACCGATCCGTATACTAAACGAATTTACGGAGGAGTAGTGGCCAGTGACGAATTGCCCGCCACTAATTTCGGAAACAGTAGGGTACTGATAGTCGCCAACACAGCGCCTAAAAGTCACGCGGGCTTACACTGGGTCGTGTTCAATAAAGACCAAAATTCGTTAGAGTTTTTCGACTCTCTGGGCAGGAAACCCGAGCACTATGGCCCAGATTTTCAGCAGTTCGCGACAAACAATTCCCGAGGAGAGAAGTTAACGACAGTACCCTTTCAACTGCAACCTTCGAACACTCAAACTTGTGGATATTATTGCTTGTTTTT